ATCTCAGCAAGTGACTCTGGGTGGCGAACAAACTTAAAATAAATTAAAAACAAATTCTCATCAGAGATACAAAAATTAAAATACACAGCACCTGAGGAAAGTATCACTATTAATGCTTGTTAACACAACCAGGAGATGGGACCCTTTACACACTCAGGGCCCCAGACCTAGGCACATAACCAGGTCTTCGAGGCCTTGAGAAAGACCAGCAGAGGGTCAGGGCCATTCTAATCTCCAGAGGGAGAATATTCCAAAGGGCGGGCACTATGGCAGAAAAGGGCACACCTCCTGGGCCCCGCCAGCCAGCATTCCCAGGCTGATGGGACCCAGAGCATGCCCATCTCAGCGGGCCTGATTGGATGGGTAGAGACAACTGGAAAAAGAAGATCCCTGAGGTAACCCAGCCCCAAGCCATGGAGGGCTTTAAAGGGGACAACCAGCACCTTGAACTGCACCCAGAAGCATACTGGCAACCAATGCAGCTCATGGAGTGGTGGCATTACATGTGCTGAATAACCAACACCATTTACTACCTGTGCTGCAGTTGAAGCTTCCGAATGCTCTTCAAGGGCAGCCCCATGTAAAGCATGTTGCAGTAGTCTAGATGGGAGGTCACAAGGGCATGAGTGACAGTGAGCAGAGCCTCCTGCTCCAGGAACAGGTACAACTGGTACACCACCTGAAGGTGTGCAAAGACCCTCCTGGTGGTGGCTGCCACCTGCTAATCCAGCAGGAGCTATGAGTCTGAGGACCCCCAGATTGCACACCTGGTCAGTCTGAGGCAGTGCCCCCCAACAATCCAGAACCAAAGGTGGAAAATCCCCAGCACCAGAAGGTCCAAATACCCAAACCCACTCAGTCTTGCTTGGGTTGAGCTGAAGCCTATTGTGCCCCATCCAGGCCCCCACAGCCTCCAGGCACTGGGTTAGGACGTCCACGGCATCCCTGAGGCGGCCTGGGGCAGAGATGTAAAGCTGGGTATCATCAGCATGCTGGTGATAGCTCACCTCAAACCATCAGATCACCTTACCCAGTGGCCTCATGTAGATGTTAAACAGGAGGGGAGAGAGGACCAAGCCTGCAACCCCTCACAAAGTAGGGGCTGAAGACTAGACCTCTCCCCTCCTAATAAGACCAACTGAAACCAGCCCCAGAGGAAGGAGGAGCACAACACAGTGCCACCCACCTCCTGGAGTCGGTCCAGAAGGATACCTTGATTGATGGTATTGAAAGCAGCTGACAGGTCAAGAAGAGCAAGGATGGATGCACTCCCCTCTTCCCTCTCCCACCAGAGGTCATCTAAGAGTGCGATCAATGCCATCTCTGTCCCATACCCTGGCCAGGATCCTGACTGAAAGGGATCCAGATAATCTGTTTCATCCAAAGTCCTTTGAAGCTGTAGCGCGACCACCTTGACTGGATGATAGCTGTCCAGATTGGTCTGATTGAGTGATGGCCCCTTGGGAAGGGGGCGCACCACCACCTCCTTAAGAGCTGGCAGGACCACGCCTTCCCTCAAGGAAGAGTTAACCACTGCCCAAGCCCAATCACGTGATCCATCCTGGGCAGCCTTGACCAGCCAGCATCTAATACAGAGGTGGCCAAACTAACAGCTACAAGAACCCTGTCCATTTTCTCAGGCTCAGCAGGATAGAACTCCTACCAGATAACCACACCAGACCTAGCCCCCATAGCCTCTACTGGCCTTGCGTCAAGGCTGGGGTCCAATGTGGAGCGAATCCGAGCAATTTTATCCATCAGATGCCCAGCGTATGAGATTAGGACGGCCCCGACTCTTTCGGCTTTTCGGAAGGCCTTGAAGACCTGTCTTTATGCCCGGGCCTGGGGCCCTGAGTTTATGAAGGGCCCCTTTTCATGGTTGTGTTGATACCAACAGTTTTTAAGATCTCTTGGCTGCATTTATATTTAATTTTTGTACTATTTTTAATGTTTTTATTGTTGTTAGCCGCCCAGAGTCACTGGTCTGAGATAGGCAGCTATATAAATTGAATGAATGAATGAATGAATGAATGAATGAATGAATGAATGAATGAATGAATGAATGGTTCCTGTGACCTTGTGAGTGAACTCCAGAGTTACTGTCTCCAAGGTGGGTCCAGGTCACCTGAAACAGGGCCACTGGATCTCTGTCTGCAGACGCAATAAGGATGGAGAAATAATTAGGTGTCACTACCCTTACTGCCATGAGGTAGGGTCTAACAGTGGCTCTAGCCTGTGTTTGGTCAGCTTCACTCTTTGTCATTTGCCAGTGATACTCTAGGCATCTCTTTACCTGCTTCATCTCCCTCAGCTCTTCTGTAAACCACAGGGAGTTTTGGGATCCATGGGCACGGAGAGGTCACTCAGGTGCAATTTGATCCAAAGCTGCAGCCACCCTCCCATTCCAGGCGGCCACCACATGCAGCAAACCTTCCAGAAAAATCCTAAGCTCCCTCTGGAACCCAGCTGGGTCCATCAGTCGCCTGGGGCAGACCAATCAAATAGGTCCAGCCTCCCTGCGGTGGGGGGTGATGCCAGAGAACTGGAGGCTCACCAGAGAGTGATCCGACCATGACAGGGGAGAAAGCAACATCTCCCCCAAATCTGTAACATGTTGCCACTGCTCCAACAGAAAAACCAGGTCAGGGGTATGACCACTATTATGTATCAGGCCCTGGATGACCTGGGACAGGCCCATGACTGTCATGGTGGCCATGAACTCCTGAGCTACCTCAGACCCCACCCCCAGGGAAGGCAAATTGAAGTCCCCCAAGACCATAAGCCTGGAGAGCTCCACTGCCAACTGGGCCACTGCCAAATGTTTTCTTCAACTTGTCAATTTTTGCAGAAATAGTTGTTAGATGAGTCTGGGCAGATAAAGGGTAATGTTCAACCCAAAAATCTGAAGATGGTCTTGCAGTTAGAATATTATTTAATTCAGCAATGGGCACAAGGTATCAATGCTACTTTCAAAGTGATCAGTACATTTCCCCAAAGCGTTATTCACTCCAGAGGAATCCATCATCTTAACTGGGGAGATTTTGGTATATCATCTAATTGCTGGGCTAGCACTTCATCCCCTGTTCCCTGAAATCAGAGAGTTCCAGGAAATTAGACTCTTGGTAGAAGCTTCAGAAGCGAGAAGATCATTCCTCTTCAGTGTTCGGCTGCCTTTGCTGGTTTCGAGGTTTTGGGGCTGGTTGTGGGTCTCTTTTTCCTGTCCAGAGGCTAGAAGCTTCAAAAGGCAGGTCAGAAATTTAAAATTTAAAAATAAATTTTAAAAATTATTAAAAATTATAAAGTAATAATAAAAAATAGAATAGAACAGAACAGAACAGAACGGAACGGAACGAAACGAAACGAAACGAAACGAAATTAAATGGGGGTTATAAGGAAGAAACAGTGACAAAGCCAAGATAAATACAAACTGATTAAATGAAGTACAATAAAATGGAACAAGAGTTGCACAGAGCTCACTAAAAGCTCAGCTATTCCAGCATCATCTTGTAAAGAAGCAACAATGGACTCCTTTGGCCCTCTGTGGCGTGGACTTTCCCTGAAAAACAAAACACCCCTTTTGAATTTCTGAAATTCCCAAATCTCCTCATCATTCAGGCCTTGAACTCTATGAACAGCTGGCCCATGTCTTTTTGTCCCTGCGATGCACCAAGGACAAAAATAATCCACTGCGAGGCTTGGCTAGGTCTGAGAAGTTGCGGTCCTGTCCCCAAACGGCAAGTGAAATGTTGCCGTGTTTTGTCCTAGGAGTGCATGACCCAGCTTCAACTAGGGATCAGAGCCCCCAGATGCTTGTGACAACTAATGGTGCTGACAGCTGCTCCCGGCACACCAGAGCCCCTCCCAAGGCCTCTTGGCAAAGCCACTGCTGCGATTTTTGGCCCCGGCTGGCTTTGGGGCAGCATGGGAAGAACAACGAGGAAGTGTACGAAGACAGGCCTTCTGCTGTTGTTTTCAGAACACAGCCCAAGGCATAGTGGCTTTCCTTTTGCGCACCAAAGCGCATTCCAATGTTTTAAGCAAGAGGCGCAAAGCCAGTCTGGGAAAACACCCTGTTGCTAAAATATCATGGTGTGAAGAATATTTCAAAGCTGGTCAGACAAGCCAACTGGTATGCACCGAAGTTGTTTTGGTAAGTATTCAAGACCCAGACTTCCCTTCCTGCATGGTGGGGTTGTTGGAAAAAGTTGTGAAGGAACGTGTATCTGGGTTTTCAGTTCCCCCTGCCTGGCCCAGAAATACCACAGAAGGAAAAGGGATGTGCCGGCTCATTTAAACCTGCTTATGGCATTGATTTACGCTCAACCAAGCTTAACATCTTAATGCAAATGCAGCAGCTATTGGGGCCTTTGACCCAATTGAGTGGGTTGTGTAAACACAACCATTACATTACATATAAAGGCCACATTCCTTTCTTTGTTTTTTTCGTTTTTTTAAAATATCTCCTTTTTCTCATCCTCCTAATTGCTGAAGTAGGTCACTCTGATGGAGGATCCAAAGATAAAGGTGCCATCTAGTGGATGACATAAAGGGCTTCTTTGGAAGAAAAAAAAAATCAGGGAAAACGGGTAAATTTTATAGCTTATTTTTGAAGGACTGTATCACCAAGAGATGGACAAGTTTTCCATGATGAGAGGCAATGCTAGTCTTAGGAAGGCAACAGTCACAATGGGTGGGCTGGTGACTCCAGGTTGTTGGAACCGTGCCACATGAAAAATTTTTAAAAATCAACATAATCTGTGCTGTACTCTGCATTGCTTCATATGGAAATGCCATCACATCAAGCTACGAAGTGTAGGGATGTGCTCGGCTTTCAGTAAAGAACTAAAATCTCTGTAGGAAAAGCTGCACACGCTTTGCAACAGAAGGTTCACACGCTCACATGCAGGACTCAGAAGATCTCCTGAGATGAAACTGATCAGGAGAGGCGAGTGTGAAGAGAAAGGGTGCACATTTACAGAAAAAGATGACTGGAACGTTTCCAACACTGATCAAGAGTTTTTATTTTCAGTTTTTAAAACAATAAAAACAAAGAGCTGTGTTCTGAGCAAAATTGAACCACAAAAAAGTCTGTTTTTTTCCCCTCCAAAGTTTAAACAGCATTGAAAGGTAAGGCTTTGCAAAGGCTGTATTGAAATAAATTACCTTCCCTTAAACACTTCCAGTTTTCTTAAATTCACCTTTAAACATCCTAAAAACCTAGCAGTGAAACAGATTATTTCCATTTTTGTATTAACACTGGGCTCCTTCTGGATATGGGTGAGAATCCTTAAACACTTAAAAATTGCTTGCCTTCCATTGTAAACACATTTATGGAGCCTAAGACCTTAGGGGCCTCCAACATACCTACTAGCATTTTAAGTATTTGAGAACTGCTGAAACATACCTAACTATATATCAAATAGCCCTCAAGTCTTTTGAACTGGTACAATTATCAAGCTAATGTTATTGCAAACTGTGCAATTAAAAAAATAGATTTTTGCATGCTGCCCACCTTTCATAAGTAAATGCCACCTTCCAAACCTCAGCAGAGGCTTCTCTGCACTTTGCCTCCAAGTTTAGTTCTCTTGCCCCGTCCGCTTGCTTAACTGAAATGCTGCATTTTAAAAGCACCTTATAGCTTCCTCCTACTCCTTATCCCTGGGTTTTCTCCTTGGCCACATGACTAATGCTGGCAACAAATGAATTGAACATCCTCACCAGTCTCTCGGGAAAAAGAATCCAGAGATGTTCAAAACTTTCCATGAGAGGAAGGGGGGAGATTTAACACCTCACTTTGAGCCACTTCAAAACTGCAGCAAGACTTTTGCTCCCACGTGGCTCAGGTACGTAACATGCTCAGCTTCCCTGCCCCAACCCTGTAGAAATGTCACCTTGATCCAAACGATTCTGCATACATTTCAGATGGAAAAACCTTCCTTTCCCAGCAGCAATGTTTGCTTACAGAGGAGAGGAGGGTGAGATGACTTTTTTTTTGTTTTAAATCATAACCCTTCATTTCTCACTTATTTTACTACTTCTCAAAAGAGCTTCATGGGGGGTCATACTGGCATGGTAATCTTCAATCACAGTCCACAAACATGTTGCTCCACCCCCGTTCCCTCCTTGCAACGCACAGTGAGCTTTAAAAATTGCACGTTGGGTCACGAAGGGGGGGGATAGGTACCCCTTGAAAAAGAAAGAGAAAACCCAACCTCAAAGAAAACAACAAACCCAAGAAAAGATTAAGTGGTCAGCCATCCAAACACTTATTAGATATCACATGCTTTTCTACAGTGAAGATGCAGCCAACCTGATCCCTTGTCCTCAGCATGGTTTGCCGAGCTCAGAAGAGACCCCCCTCACCAGCAGGGAGAGTGCAGGATGACATCAAGGTTGCATGTGGGAAAGGAACAGCAGACCAGAAGCGTTAGGACGGACGCTGTTTCTGTAATCTTCGCTCTGCAGCAGCAGCCAACATCCTACGGCGCAAAGTGATGGGGTCGGAGGCTGCTCCTTCAGCCTGAGAAGAAAGGTCTGGGGCAGGACCATCAAAGCTTTTGTTAAGGTAGCGCCTGGAAAAACACCGAGAGAGAGATTTGTGCTGATTACAGGTATCTGTCTGGGCTTGCCTTCCACTCTGCCCTGTTGGCAGGAGAAAAGGCGTCTTTCAGCTGTGCTAAATCTATTCATCTGCAATAGCAAGTGAGATTTTGCACCCCAAAAAATTCTACACCCAAGAAATGTTGGAAAGAGCCTGTCCAGATCAGGAAACAGGGAACACTGGCAGAAGCTTAATAGCAACTGATACTAATTTGCATAATCCATTTGGTTTGACTGCTCGGCAAACACAAGTCTTCCTGAGGGGCGTCTGAACTTCTGAGATTTTCGTTAAGCCCTATACAAACATTTTCAAGCATCACTCCTTAGCCATGAGAAACGGGAGTTTGCTGCTCTTTGGGGGGGGGGGGGAGAAGGAAAGAAAACCAAGATTTTAGATGTTTTTAAAAGGGGACGAGACAAATTCAAGCAGGATTATCAGTGCTCCTAGAGTTAGGCAAACCTTAACATTTCAGGGAGAGAATATTCCAGTGAATGTCAGGAACATCTGATCCACCAGGATGGATCAGAAGATGAGGGGAGAGATTGGAGTTCATGGTTACTCATCGTAAGGACTGTTTACCTCTTCCTCAATGACATGCCAGTGGGAAGAGGGGCAATTACCTCCCCCCCCCCCCCCCC